GGATTTTAAAAGAATATAAAAATTTTAAATATTTTATTAAATATGGGTGAATACATATAAATGACTATGAAACAGTGTAAGTCTCAGGAGGGAATATAAGCTATATTTTAAACCTGATAATTTGATGATTTGTTTGTTATTAATATACTCAGAAGTTTTAATTTACAAATATTGTTTTTAAATTTCATAATCATAAAATATGGACACTTCCACTTGTACTTTGTTATGATGTAATTCACAAATGTAACTAAGTATTTCTTAAATATTTAATGTTATTTACATATTAAACTAAGTAAGTGTTCTTCAACATTTGAAACTATGATTACACATGTAATAATATCTTAGGCAGTTAATTCTTTATGTGCATTTACATAACTTTTGCAAATGTAATACCAATAACCAACCTTATACATGTGATCACTAAACAAGTGGCCTTCATTTACCAAGCTTCATGGATGTCAAGAGCAGAGAAAGCATGTATCACCAATGATAATATTCTCAGAAATAATGAAATTATATTATCATTGTTAAATGTTACATATTCTGAAGCCAGGTGGAGGTGGCACACACCTTTAATCCCAGTACTCAGGAGGGAGAGGCAGTCAGTTCCTGTGAGTTCTAGGCCAGCCTGGTCTACAAAGCAAGTTCCAGAGAAACCCTGTCTCAGACAAAAACAAAAACATATATCATAGATTCAGACAAAAAAAAAAATGGAGGTGCATCACTCCAGTCTTCCTTCAAGACTGTAGCACCATTTCTCTTTGGTCTTAATAAAAACTCAGAAGTCAGATATAAGGGCGTAAAAGTTGAAGGACTAGAGAAGCAGAACAGCCAGCCACTACCAATGCTCAGACCAAAGGGATGATCCTGTCCTCAGACTGCCTCCTCAGACTGCCTGCTGCTCAGACTGCACTGCTCCTGTCCCCTCCCACCTTATATTCCTCTCTCCGTCCAGCCATATCACTCCTGTCTCACCTCCCTAGGGTTGGGATTAAAGGCGTGTGATCCTAAGTGCTGGGATCACCTTTGTGAGAGCTCTGTTTCTCTTAGACTGGATCAATTTTGTGAAGCCCAGGGGGGCCTTGAACTAACATGACATCTGCTTCTGTCTCCTGATTGCTAGGATTAAAGGTATGTGCCACCAGTGCTTGGCCTCTAGTGCTACCTAGTGTGACTAGCTCTGCACTCTGATCTTTAGGCAAGCTTTATTTGTTATAGCATAATCAAAATATCACCGCATGCTGCACTGTTTGGGAAAGATGGTTTCTACTCTTTCAGGGTCAGTAGCAGTTATGCCCTTTCAGGGCATCTACTAGGCAAGAGAGAAAGGGTGCAATATAAAGCCCAGAGTGGAACAATGACCCACAACACTGGATTCAGAACTTGGCTCATCATCTCTTCTGGAGAATTTAACTGCAGTGCAATCTAACTCACAACCAAGAATTGCCATCTCAGACTTCCTACAGGAACTGAGTTCTTGTCACTGCTTCAGTAATGAATTTACTTGAGCCCCAGATTATAGAGTTTTTGTTTCGTGTGTGTGTGTGTGTGTGTGTGTGTGTGTGTGTGTGTGTGTGTGTGTGCTTTGCCTGAATGCTAAGTGTTATGTGTACCACACATGTGCCTGTGGGATCCCCTGGAACCGAGCCACCATATAGTTGCTGGCAGTGAATTCCAGATCCTCTGCAGGAGCAACAAGTGCTTTTATCATTATTGGCTGACTCCTACACTGCTTGTATTTATCTCATAAGCAACATTCTATAATAGTTTGACAAAGCAATTATAGGAAACCATATGTGTTTTAAGAACATTATATAATCTTCAGTCTATTAACATGTTTAATTAAATATTCTCATTGTCTTATTTTTTAGTTTTTTCCAGCTTACAAAGATATAAACCAAGTATGTGAAGTTTAGATTGGAAGCATATATATATATATATATATATATATATATATATGTAAAATAAATATATGAAATATTATGCCAAATTTATTCTGAAGCTAGACAACTTCATTTAGTCCTGAAAACTATTAACAATTAGGCTTCTTTCACCGTATAAAGATGCCTGATCACAAACTGAAGACACATCATGTTTAAGAAAAGCAGAATGTGATAGCTGGGAAGCCAGCATGGGACTGACTCAGGCCCCCCTGATTATGGGTCTCAGCCAGAAGGACTGAGCAGTCTAAGAGACCTCAGACAGTGGAGCCAGGATGTATCCCTGGTTCACAAAAGAACTTTGCGAACATATCCCCCATGGAGGGATAACTGCCTTAATCTAGAGACAGGAGAGAAGCCCTAGTCCCTACTTCACAGGACCTGTCAGATCTACATGACCCCAACTGGATGGCACTCCCCTACATATGGAATTGGGGTGGGGGATGGGAGGGGAGGGTGTTTAGAGTGCATGTGAGAGGGCAGAGAGGGTAAAAAGGGAGGGAAGGAGGGAGGGAGGGCTGGGGGAGGGAAGGAGGAAGGGAGGGCTGGGGGGAGGGAGCGAGGGAGGGAGGGAGGGAGCGGGAACTGGGATCGACATGTACAATAATATATTAAACTAAAAAAAAAAATGCTTTGACTCCAAAATTTAAGTTGAAGGACAAGTTACTGGGGAAAAGGATTTCTATTTTTGTTTCCACAGAAAATGAAAAGATGTGGATTCCTTCCAGACTAATGTGGTTTGATCACGCCAGACAGCCTGAAACAGAGTACAAGCTGATCCCACATTCAAAACAGCTGGACAAAACAGCCCTACAGACTACAGCCAGGATATCTGAATCTTCTTCGAATCCCCCAAGACAGCGCCCCTTACCAGCAGGAAGTAGTTTGGAAAGAACGATGCCCAAATTCCCAAATATTGTGTATAAATGTTTGTTTTCATTTAATTGGACTGTTATATAAAATTAAATAAAATTAAAAAAAGATTTGTAGCACACATGGTAATAAATTTTAAAAAATTAAAAAAAAAAAAAAAGAAAGAAAAGCAGAATGCTGGGCATTGGTGTCGCACGACTTTAATCCCAGCACTCGGGAGGCAGAGACAGGCGGATCTCTGTGAGTTCGAGTCCAGCCTGTTGTACAGAACTAGTTCCAGGACAGGCTCCAAAGAAACAAAGGAAGAAAGGAAGGAGGGAAGAAGGAAGGGAGGGAGGGAGGAAGAAAGGAAGAGGTTCTCTTAGTGTTAACTCCAAATAGAGAATTTTCTGGTGTTGGTGCAGAGTCTGAAATAAATGATCCAACCTTCAGCCATTTCTGTTAAGGCTCAGAAGGCCAAAATTGTGCAAATAATGGGACCCACTATCTAATAATTACCTGCACTTCCACACACACTGTACCTCAGTCCTAACCATGCCCTTTTGAGAAAAAGCAAGGACGAAAATGGATGGCTTAAAACATCCAAGTATTGCAGCCCACCACAGGAGAATTCAGGAATAAGATGGTAACTGAGAGGAACCTCAGAAAAAGAAAGAGGCCTAAGAACTTTCCCTTTCGTCCTACACCTGGGCCACCTGGGAGCCCTGATCTCGGCAGGGCCTGAACCCCTCCCTGAGTGTCATGGTCAGGGATGACGCACAGTGGAGAAAGTGAGTGTTCCTCCCCGCTTCCCTGTACTGCTTGTCCGGGCCACGCGGTAGGGGCTCAGAGAAGTGGCTGAGATCGGGCAGCGCAGGCTCGCGAACGTCCTACCCAAACCTGTCCGCGCAGCCCGAGCAGGACACCTGAGCTTGCCGACCTGGGCCTCTGTCTCTCTGACGGCATCACCCAGGGGGAACAGGCGGAGCCCGGGGATCCGCTCTTAACCGGCGCTGAGGCTCACGGCGGCCCCGGGAACTCACACAACACTCGGCTCGCACGCCACAGACCCGCTCTCCCCCACCAGCTGCGGGGCTATTAGGTCGCCCGGCGCCACAACCAAGCCTGGGCCCTTAGTCCCGCCTCCTGCTCCGCGCGGATTGGTGGCAGGGATAAGCTCTGGCGCTGATTGGACGGCGGCGAAGTCGCTCCCGCGGGCCGTAGCGCTGGACGCACACGAGTGCTAAATGGCTTTTCAGTCCTTAGGTCGCGAATCGGAACCCTTAGAGGTGTCCTAGGCGGTGTCCCCGAGCCGACAGCATCACCCCCGTCCCGCACCCTCCTCCCCTCCGTTGTTTTTCATCCCTCCCTTCTCTCCTCCCTCCGGTCCGCGACGACTGGCGGTTCAGGCCGGTTCAGGCCTCGCTGAAGGTGAGGAGCAGAGCCGCCGGCGAGCGGGCCGCTCTGAAATGGCCGCTGGCCTGAGCTGTCTAAAATGGCGGGCTCGTGCTCCGCTGGGGACCGTGGCGCTGCGCTGCTGCCCAGCCGCGGCCGAGACAGTAGGCTGATGGAATGGAAAGGTGTCGGGTGCTGACACGACTTCATGTCGACAGCTAGGTGACACCCTGGCGCGAGAGAAACCCTGAGCCAAGAGTGGGCTACGATGGGAAGAGAGCCGCGGGGGGCGTGGCGGCCACTGAGATAGGGCTGTCCCAGGCTGCGGGGTGAGGTGAGGTCCGGGCCGGGATGCTCGGCTTCCTAGCCTCCGTGATTGGCCCGTGTTCCCGCCCCTTAAGGAGGGATTGTTCACACCTACGGTAGCCCGACAGTGAAGGCAAAGGGAGAAAAGACTACTTGCCTTTCAGTTCAACCCAAAGGGGAGACCCAAGTGTTCCCCTTTCAGGGAGTGTACTGAAAACTAGGGAGCACAAGCTATTTGCCCTCAAGAGCTGGCAGGGAATACCTCTGAATAGAAAGGCATGGGGTGCTGTTTTGAGAAAATGATGCTACTTGTTCTGTGCCCACTTGACAGCAAGGGGAGGGGACCTAATTTTGTGGTGTACTATTGGTCCCATAAAGTGTTTTTTGTTGTTGTTTGTTTTGGTTTTGTTTGTTTGTTTTTAACCAAATTGAAATCAAGGCTGAAAGAAGAGGCTACTGCTAAGGAATAGGCCTCATAACTGCTGCTGCCCAGTTTAAGATTGCTGCCTCTGGCAGTTGCAACACACTGGTAATCTGTTTCTACACACATACCAGTTCTTAGTACTAGAAGAAGTTGAAGAAAACTCACAAGTAATGGTGAAGCAAATGGGCTGTACAGTCAAACATTTGGGGCAGTGTTCTTGATTCTTCACTAACAAAATGTGTTGACCTAGCAGGTAACAATTTCTCTGTGTCTTTCTCTCAAGTGCAGTCATTAACATTTCCAGGTTCTTGACAATTGTGAGGAATTGAGCACAGATAGTAACAGCTCACGGATAATAATAAACAGTTACTCAGTAAGCATTAGTTGTCAGATTGGGGACAGAATCTGGTTATCATAATGGCATATGTCATGTAACACTTGCATGTATGGTTTCATTTCAGATTCAGTTTAGTTTTAGAGATATTGAAATGGGGCTGTACTTTTTAAAAGTTTTTTTCCCCAAAATTTAATGTGTTGTCAGTAGGTAAGGAAGCATTTCAAAGCAGGAAAATTGCCAGAATAGTAAGTAGAATGATGATTTCAGCATGTTTACTTTCCTAGGGACTTTCTGTTTACATCCAGGAGCTGCATTTCAGTGAAGAATCATTTGACTATTTAAAATGTGATAGATGTTCATGGTGGAAGTTCATAGTTGCTGCAGTGTCTGATTCTAACTTTTCTTATTCTAGGCTTCTGGTTACTTCCATTCCCAACCTATCCCTTAGTTTTATTCTTTTGAAGAGTCTGCATTTCAAGCTATCATGTTGGAGAGAGTGATTGCAGAAAGAAGTGTTCATTGTTTCAGGTATCTTACCTACTAGCTGTTAACAGAAAAACCATTTGAGGATCTAAAAAGAAAAGATAGGGATTAATTTGTAATCACATGAAGTTTAAAATCAACAGGATCAATCTGTGTATCTTACAAATATAATTTAAAATTCAGAAAACTATTCATTATTAGGAATCAGTATTCACTAGACAGTCTTAAGTTTGCATTATTCTTGTGTTTCTTTTATTACATGAGAGAAAAACCTACTAAAGTGAGTGTATATTTTCCTTAAGATTCGGATTATTCTAGCACAATAGAGTAATTAGTAACAATGTGCATTACTAAAAGTCTTAATTAAGATAATGTAAACATATATGCACTTTTAAATCCAGAGAAGTAGTATCTCCTTTTTTGTCTGTAGTTTATTCTTTATTGTTAACACATAATACTTAAGATCCACTAGAATTCTGTCTTGGAACATTGTGTTTTCAATATAGCTTACTAGAATTGTTGCAGCCCTGAAGGGAGGCTTCTGATATATAATACCACCAACATTTAATGCATCTAATGGCAGTAGTTATCAGAAACATAAAAGAAATTCTAAGATACTATATTCTGTGAGATAAGGTTGGTAAATTATAGGCCACACAGTCTGTTTTGGTACATAAAGTTTTATTGAAACACCCACCCACTCTTTCATCTGTTGTTTTATATAACTACAGAGATGAATAATTAAAACAGAGCCTGTATGGACCACAAAGCAAGCAAACATTTTGACTGTATGGTCTTAAAGTGTTTACCAACCCTTGCCATGGAAAGGTTCCTAAAGATGTTTCTAAAGAGCTCGTCCTTAAAAAATGTATATTACATATGAACTCATTACTATTTCATAGTCTAATAGTTCCCAGATAGTTCATTTAGAATGTTAATATTCTCAGAGTTTGAGAAAAAAATGATACTAGCAATAATTTTTTGTATAGTTTTAATATAAGTTGATTTGAACGTAAGTTTGACTACTAAACTCATTTCTGTAGTTTTTATTTGTATGTGATAATCTACCTTTAAGAAAGGTGTGCCATATCTGAGAGCACCATGAAGTCGCAAGAGAGATCACTTGATAAAAGAACAAATGATATTCCATCTTCAAAGTGATGCCTAGGCAACATTTACGAATTAACTGATGTGTTGCTATATATCTTCTCTCATCTTTATTTCTTGTCTTATAATTTCAAAACAGTTGTGATACTATGTTAAATCTAAATTAACCGTGGTTTACACTACAAACTCATTACCCATGGATCCTTTGCTGAAACAAGGACGTCTTAAACAAGAAGTAGAATCATTTTATTACCAAATTATATCAGAATCAGACAGTCAAAGGTTGGAATAGTACAAAGTGTTGATGAACCATTGCGGTCTTCAGTTTCTATGAAACCAGAAGGAAAGCTTTCCAGGGTCAAATTTATGTTCAATTCCAGTAAAATAGCAACATTTAGTAAGAAAATAAAAAGAAGAAAATATGATGAAAGTTATTTGTCCTTTGGATTTACTTACTTTGAAAATCAAGGTGCCCCTCATGCTCAGTGTGTATTATATAAGAAGATTTTATTCAATAACTCTTTTGCTCCTAGTAAGCTCCGAAAACATTTAGAAGGTAAACACGCTGCATATAAAGACAAAGACATCAGCTTTTTCAGGCAGCATCTTGATTGACCTGAAAACAGTAAACCTTCAGCACCTAAGACTGTCAATACAGATAATGAAAGTGCTACAGAAGCATCATACAATGTAAGTTACCACATAGCCCTGAGTGGAGAGGCTCATACTATTGGAGAATTGCTTATCAGCCCTTGTGCAAAAGATTAGATGTTTGATGAACAGTGTAGTTAAAAAAAAAAAAAAATTTGGTACAACTCTCAAATAGTACTGTAGTACATCAAATTAAAGATCTAGCTGCTGACATTGAAGAGAAGCTTGTTTGTAGATTGAAATTTTGTGATGGGTTTTTCACTACAACTAGATGAACCAGCTGTTGTTTCAGGACTTGCTGTGCTGCTTGTGTTTATTTGTTATAGGTTTAATAATCTATTGAGGAGGACCTACTCATATGTGAATCTTTGCAGAGTAATGCAACTGGTGAAGAAATACTCAACTGCATCAACAGTTTTATGCAGAAACATGAATGAATGGAAAAAATGTGTTGATGTTTGCAGTGTCCTTCTAGGGCACTGGATGGGAATATTGCTGAGGCTGTCACCTTGATAAGATATGTAGCTCCAGAAAATAACAGTAGTTACTGCCTAGTATATTGACATGCATTAGCAGTTCAAATAATGCCTACATCTCTGAAAAATGTGCTAGACCAAGCAGTACACATTATCAATTACATCCAAGCTCGACCACATCAATCCTGGTTACTAAAAATTTTATGTGAAGAAATGGGTGCTCAGCACACAGCACTTCTGAATATAGAAGTAAGGTGGCTTTCCCGAGGTAAAGTTCTTGTAAGACTTTCTGAACGGCCTTAACTATTGGTTTTTATGGATTCCACTTTTTGACTATCTGGTTGCTTAACAAATTCATCTTGGCTGCTAAGACTTGCATATGTTACTGACATATTTACTAAATTAAATGAGGTTAAGCTGTCAATGCAAGGAAAGACTATAACAGTGTTTACAGTATTTGATAAAATGTCTTCATTGTTAAGAAACTTGGAGTTTTGGGCCTCATCTACAGAAGAAGAAAACTTTGACTTTTTCCTACACTCAATGTCTTAGTGTCTGAAATTATTCTTCTATAGTTGACAAAGATATTTGTGGTGCTAATGTGCAGCACTTAAGAGGTTTGCAAGCTACTCTTTTGAAATATTTTCCTGGATCAAGTGATAGATAATAATGCTTTGGTTAGAAATCCATTTACAATAACTGTTAAATCTCTGACCCCAAACAAAATTTCAGTGAACTGTCACTAAATGATTTTTGGAGTAGCCTAATTCATGAATATCCAAACATTACAAGACATGCTATTCATGTACTTCTTCCTTTTGCAACAATGCACTTATGTGAAACAGGGTTTTCATATTATGCTGCAACAAAAACAAAATACAGGAAAAGACTTGATTCTGCACCTCCTATGTGGATCCAATTTAGCAATATCACACCTAACATTAAACAAATAGGTGATTTTTTAAAAAAAGACACAAAAACACTGTTCTCATTGAAATTGAAGGGTTTTGCATGTCTCTTGATAATATAAAATGAAAATAAAAGATGTTACACTTCAATCTCTAGTATTGGAATTTTAAGAAACTGAATCAAAAATTCAAACATCATTACTATTTCTCACTTTGTAAATTTCAAAGGGTTCTATAGTCACAACTGGGAAATGATGGTCCATAGAATAAAGTTCTAGTTTCTTACTTGATGTAGCACATTAGGGTGCTTACATTTTTTTCTGTTCATGCTTGTCCTGCAACCTTCCAGTTCTATGGAATGTCTTTCCATTCCCTAAAAAATAGCAGTTTCATGCTTTCAGATCTCAAAATCTCAGTCATCCACATCTTATTTCTTGGTGACTCCTACTTACTTTTCAATACTATGCCTTAATTTGTCATGATGCTTTTTTTTATATATTTCAGTTTTAACCCGATTTTCTCCTGTTGTATTGTGTGTGTGTGTGTGAGAGAGAGAGAGAGAGACAGAGACAGAGACAGAGACAGAAACAGAGTGTGTGTGTGTGTCTTGTGATTTCAAATGTTACTGGGCTGATCTTTTAGAGGGTTTACCCAGATCTCTACCTTCATTATCTGGCAAAATTCTTTACTAAAGTTCAGTAAAAAGGAAAGGATGAGGATAGTAAAGGAGAACCAACAAAAAGTGCAAACAGAGATTTCTTACTTCACTGGTTGATATGAGTATATCATGTTTGGGTTTTTGGGCTGTGACTCAGATACTGTGTTAGCTAGAATTCAAGAGAATTCTGCAGAAGTCATTGAGGGATGACCTAACATTTTAATATACTCAGAAGGAGGGAGTAAGAAATAACAAAGAATACTTCAGATGTTTCTGAAGTATTATTACTTCTTAGATTATTACAAATTCCATTGCACTTTAACCAAAATTAATGGTATTTTTGTGTAAAATACTTGGATAACTAATTTATTTAATTTATTAATGCTATTTATTTATTCTTGGAATACTATAAAAATATTCCCTGTTGACTTGCTGTTTCTGAACTTTTTTTCCCATGTCATACAAGATTGGTAGCCAATTCTGTTAAATATTTTGTGTTGTTCCTGTATTCAAGAGCTACAAATAGTCATTATTTAATCTTAATTACTGAAACATTTGTTCTCCTGTTTTGGCAAATTGTAGTAAAATGACTTGGGCTCAAATGTTCATTCTATTACTTAACTAGATGTTTGACTACAGCATTCTGAACTTTGCTAAATTGCCATTAACTCTTTTTTATTTATTTTTTGGGGGTGGGTGTTTTGGCAGTGTTTCTCTGTAAATTTGGCTGTCCTGGAATTTGCTCTGTAGACTAGGCTGACCTTCAAACTCCAAAGATCCTTCTGCCTCTGCCTCCCCGATGCTGGGATTAAAAGTATGCACCTCTACCACCAAGATCAGTTCATTCATTTTTAAAATTAGCTTTTTAGGGTGATTTTGAAAGTTAAGTGAGAATTATTTCAAGACTCTGACCCAGAATAGGTGTATGGCATAAGTTCTCTTCTGTATCAAATGTTCCCAATAAATTTGACCTAACAGTTCACTAAGAGACTCAGTAGTTTTCTAACCCAGAAAACATATTTTGATATGAGACAAAATGAAGCAGTTCTGTTCAGGTTCTCCCCCTACTCTTACCTGTGTCAGTTTATTAAACATCTGTTTATCTGTCAGTCACCCTTAGTAAATATGTTGTTTATAAGTAATATTTATAATAATACTGTAAGACTTGGACTTGAGCAAGGTCACACTGAATAGCAAAATTTAGTCTTTCTCAAATAACTTTTCTGTTATTGCTTTTTAGACTTTTCAAAGAAAAACAGTGACTTTCTAAGTTCAGCACAACGTTCCCTCCTAAAATCTGAACATTTCTTTGAAATCATATTTTAAAAATTCATTTAAAATGGACCATCTAGTTTATAACTTTATTTTTTGATGTATATATATATATATATACACACATATATATACATACATACATACATACATACATACATACATACATATCTGTAAAATAACATTAAGTATTTAAAAGTATGTCCCATACATGCTGTCCAATGTATGTACAAACCTGGTGTTAAACATGCCTTAGTTTGGGAAGCATATACAAAGCCAAGTCTGTATCTGTCTTGTACTGAAATCTGGTCATTAGAAGACTCTGAAGATGGAGTTTCTTTTCCACCAGGTCCCTCGGCCATTTAGTTCCAAATAAATACACTGAGATTTATATTAATCATAAACTTTTTGGTCAGGCTTCTTATTGGCTAGCTCTTTCTTAATTATTAGCCCATTTTTATTAAACTATGTATTGCCACAAGACTTACCTGTAATGCTCTGCCAGCATATTACAACCTCTGTTACTATATGGTGTCTCCCTTTTGGCTCTTCTCTGCTTCTTTCTTCCCAGCCTTCTCCTTGTCTGGGAGCCCCACCTGTACTGCCTGCCTGGCTACTTCATCAGCCAATAAGAGAAACATATTCACAACATACAGAAGGACATCCCCTATCAAGACTCCGTATGTGATTATTGAGCTTCATTAACTCTCTCTCCAGGATATCTCACTCTTCAAATATATTCTTTTCCTTAACAACATTTTTTTTTTTTTTTTTTGCAGTCAGTCTGGTTTTTATTTAAATTCAGTCTCTTAAGTGGGACCCGGTTACCTGCTATTGGACCTCTAAGGCTGACCTTGTCCAACTTGACACCAACTCAAGTATTCTGCAACCCATCTGACCCATTGTATTATGATATGGATAACTAGGGAGAATGGACTCTTACCATGTAAAGATGATCTGATGCTGGCTGGATGATAGACTTAACTCCACACCACTACTTCTTCTAAGTTGCTCTAATCTCTTATAACTGAATACCAAAAGAGAAAATTCTTTTCCTCTGTGTTTAAATACTTCTTACCCTTCATAATTGGCTATGTGTTCTACAAAAAAAATGAAGTTAGTAGTATTGCCAAGTCTCCCTTTCTTTACTGTTTGCAAGCCCTCTGGTTATTGTTCCAGACAGCATCCTTGAGCACAGGAGCCTCTCAAGCCAGAGGAAAGCCACTATCTGAGAAATCTTCCACACACACAAAAAGAAATGTAAATGAAAAAAAAGAGAAATAAATGTCATTTGACTTCATAGAATAGCTACGTGGGGTCTAAATGGTATCATGAAGGCACTGCCCCTGCCTATCTATTAATCAGTGAAGCTCAAATGTGTTCAGTCCCAAAGGACTTCCTATCTTTAATCTCTGTATTTCAAATAGTTGAAATTACTTAGATTTCTTAATGAGGATTGTTCCATTTTAATCTTGACATACCCACACGTAAATACACTGGTGAAAGTTTCTTATGGGTCATTTATAAAACTCAAACCATTCCTTTTTTATTTGGTTGGTTTTGGTTTTTGTTCTTTTGAAACTGTTTATCCCTGGCTGTTCTGGAACTCTCTTTGTACATCATGTTAGCCCCAAATTCACAGAAATTTGACTGCCTCTCCTTCCTGAATACTAGCATTAAACACCTGCACCACCAAGTCCACCAGCAACTTTCTTATTTATTTTCCAAGACTGGATTTCTCTCTTTAGCTCTGGAACTTGCTCTGTAGACCAGGGCATCCTTGAACTCATAGATCCACCTGCTTCCCAAGTGCTAAGTTTGAAGACATGTGCCACCACTTCCCTGCCAAATTTCTAATCTTAGGAAAGTGGATTGAATTTTCTAGTTAAAAGGTGAAATACAATGCATAAAGCCTTTCATAAACAGGATCAGAAACTAGCCTATATTTCAAGAGCTTCAGTGGCAACATTCATTGGAAAAACTCATTATTGCTTTAAGATTGTTTTATTCCCTAAAATGTAATTTTACAATTACAAAATAACTAAAATTTACAAAATAGTCCCAACAGCTTTGGAACTGCTGCATGATTCTTTTCTTTTTTCTTTTTTTTTTTTTTTTTAAGTTACTATAAC